CTGGGTGGCTCAGTCAGTCAGGTCAGTGCTCAGTCAGCGGGGAGTCTGCTTCTCCCTCTCCCTGTGCTCCTCCCCCCGCTTGTGCTCTCTCTCTCTCAAATAAATAAATAAATAAAATCTTAAAAAATAATTACATAAATCATAAAACAATGACCAGTGAGCAAGCTAATTATAAAGATGCTAGTTCTAATAATATGTAGACTTAATCCTGGAAACCTTCCTGCTGAAAAACATCTTGAAATGCTAAATAACAATTATCCTTCGGAACATACAGCTGACTCATGAAAAAGTAAGAGAAATTCCCAGGGGCTAGAAGTGAAAAGAGTTGAAAAAAGCGATAAACTTGTGACCTGACTTTATGAATCTGGGGATGGGACGGGGAGAGGTGGCTAAGGGGCTGGGTGTCAGTAATCTACAAGCTTGGGTTTTCTTCTTTTGTTCTTAGCACATAATAATTCATAGTAACATAGACATTTATAGCTCACAAAGCACTTTCATACAAAAGATCTTATACATTGGAGAGTAATGTGTTGGTAGCTATCATGTGGTAAGATGCTACATTAATTTAGGAAGGCTTTGGAAGGAACTGAATATTTTTTCTTGGAATCAAATAGATGGGAAGATAATGGTTTCATAAAATATTTTTTAGTCAGTGTGGCCTGAACTTTCCATGACCATATTGTACTTGCCTTATAATCATTGTCAAAAATAGATGGGGGATGTCCTTTTTGGGTATTGGCTATTAATACCTATATAGGGAAAGGAGATGATACCTCCAGGCCTCAATAAAAAATGGCTTCTTTTTTTTTTAAAGATTTTATTTATTTATTTGAGAGAGAGAGAGAGAAACAGCATGAGAGGGGAAAGGGTCAGAGGGAGAAGCAGGCTCCCCGCTGAGCCGGGAGCCCAATGTGGCACTCGATCCCAGGACTCCGGGATCATGACCCGAGCCAAAGGCAGTCGGTTAACCAACTGAGCCACCCAGGCGCCCTAAAAAATGGCTTCTTAACAGAGCTAGGCCCTTAGAAAGAGGGTAGGCCAGAAAAAACAAAACAAAGCATCCACTTGTACAGGAAGAGAAAGAGAATGCTTGAGGTTGTCTCAACTTGTGTCCTTGATAGGAATACAAAAACATAAAAACAAAGTATTGCTGGACATTGTGATCACAGGCCTGTCCTCATATATAAGTTTGGTGTTTGGATTTATATTCTCTGCTTAGTCTGGAAGCTCCAAAGTGGAGAAATTAACTTATAATTGAGGGTGCCTGGCAGAAGCATGCATGAAACTGCTCTCAGGAAGCACACCTCAACCTAAGCCACATAGCATTCTCAAGGATAAAACTCTGCTAAAGATGAGCAACTGACCTAATCTTCCAAAATATATAAGGACACAATCCCTCATGAGAAAGAGTCAATAGACACCATCATCAGCATGATTAGACTCCTGTGAACCTGAGATCATGGATCTTTCAGATAAAAACTATGTTTAGAGGGACGCCTGGGTGGCTCAGTCAGTTAAGCGTCTGCCTTCAGTTCAGGTCATGATCCCAGGGTCCTGGGCTCAAGTCCCACATCTAGCTCTTTGCTCAGCAGGGGGTGGGGCCTGCTTCTCCCTCTGCCTGCCGTTCCCCCTGCTTGTGCTCTCTCTCTCTGTTAGAAAAACCCCCAAAAACCCAAACCACAAAAACAAAAAACACCCCACTATGTTTAGAATAATTAACATTTAAGAAACAATAAAGATGTAAAAATGGTATCACACCAGGAAGACTTGAAAATAAAATTTGGGGCCCCTGGTGGCTCAGTCGGTTAAGTGTCTGAGTCTTGATTTCAGCTCAGGTCATGATTTCAGGGTTGTAAGATTGAGCCCCACATCAGGCTCCACATGGAGCCTGCTTCAGATTCTCTCCCGCTGCCCCTCTCCCACTTCTCTTAAAAAAACAAAACAAAACAAAACAACAGGAAAAGAAATTTAAAAGAATTTCTAGAAATGAAAAATACAGTAATTTAAGTTAGAAAATCAGGGGGAGGGTTAAACAGCCAATTAGACAGTCGAAGAGAGGAATATTAAACTCAAAGAGCTGAATATAGTATAGAGAAATGAAATCATACTATAAGAGAGAGATTCAGACTGAAGAAATCCAACATCTGACTAATAGGAGTTCCAGTAGGAGAAAGTAGTAAGAAGGAAGGAGGGAGAGGCAATATTTGAAAGGTATAGCTAAGAATTAGCCAGAATTAATGATAGGCAATAGTGCTACAATATAAACCTCAAAAACATGCTAGAAAAAGAAGTCAGATACAAGAAACTACACATAATGTGATTCTATTTATATGAGATGATCAAATAAGGCAAATCTATAGAGGAAGTGAGTGAGAGGTTGCTTGGAATGAGGAGCGGGATTGACAGTAAATGTGAATGAGGGGTCTCTGATGGAAATGTTTTAAACTGGGTTGTGGTGATGTTTGCACAACTGTACAAATTTACTAGAAAATCATTGAACTTAAAATGTGTGAATTTTATGACACGTAAATTGTGCCTCAACAAAGTTGTTAAGAAGAGAAGCAAAGCTAATGGTTCAAGATGTTTTAACTTTTAAAAAGTCCTACCTTGCTAGCAGCTGGAGAAGAGGAAAATGGGGATTGATTGCTTAATGGGAATGGAGCTGCCTTTTGTGGGGATGAATACATTCTAGAACTAGACGGAGGTGGTGGCTGCACAGCACTGGGAATGTACTAAATGTCACTGAATTGTACACTTTAAAAGGGTTGCAAAGGTAATTTTTTGAATGTTTTAGCAGAATAAAGAAGATATAACTGGTTATAAAGGAAACTGCAATAAAGCTTACTATGCATCTTTTTCTAGAGGGTTTTTATTTATTTTTTTATTATATTAATCACCATACATTACATCATTAGTTTTGGATATAGTGTTCCATGATTCATTGTTTGTGCATAACACCCAGTGCTCCACGCAGAACGTGCCCTCTTTAATACCGTTCACCGGGCTAACCCATCCCCCCACCCCCCCCTCCAGAACCCTCAGTTTGTTTTTCAGAGTCCATCATCTCTCATGGTTGGTCTCCCCCTCCGATTTCCCCCCCTTCATTCTTCCCCTCCTGCTATCTTCTTTTTTTTTTTCTTAACATATATTGCATTTTGTTTCAGAGGTACAGATCTGTGATTCAACAGTCTTGCACAATTCACAGTGCTCACCATAGCCCATACCCTCCCCAATGTCTATCACCCAGCCACCCCATCCCTCCCACCCCCCACCACTCCAGCAACCCTCAGTTTGTTTCCTGAGATTAAGAATTCCTCATATCAGTGAGGTCATATGATACATGGCTTTCTCTGATTGACTTATTTCACTCAGCATTCTAGAGGGTTTTAAAAAACTTTTCATCTTGAGGGGTGCCTAGGGGGCGCAGTCAGTTGAGTGTCTGACTTGGTTTTGACTCAGGTCATGATCTCAGGGTTGTGAGATCCAGCAGTCTGGCTCTGCACTCAGCGAGGAGTCGGCTTAGGACTTTCTCTCCCTCTACCCCTCCCCTGCTCTCTGTCTCTCTCTCTCTAAAATAAGTAAATAAATCTTAAAAAAAAAACCAAAAACCCACAACTTTTTATTTTTACATAACTATAGGCACATGAGAAATTGCAAAAATAGGACAGGTCCTATGTACCTGTCACCCAGTTTCCCTTAATGGTAGCATCTTACCGTATCGTACCAGCAGTACATTGTCCAAACCAGGAAACTGGCATTGGTACAATATAATTAATTAAACTACAGACCTTACTCAAAATCTTTTGGCGAATTGTTTTAAAAGTTATAAAATACCCAGTGCAGATTTCCATTAGTTGAGATTGAATGGTTCTATTGTTCTCATCCCAGGGAAGAAAACATTTTGATTCAAAAAAAAAAAAAAAAAGGTTTCTGAACCTTTCTTTTCTAAAACCTTAGAAACAACTGAAAATTTGCCTTTCTTTTTAAGAGAGAGAGAGGAGGGAGGGGCAGAAGGAGAGGGAGAGAGAGACTCTTAAGCTGGGCGTGGAGCCCGACGTGGGGCTTGATCTCATGGCCCTGAGATCATGCCCTGAGCTGAAATCAAGAGTTGGATGCTCAACAGGGAGCCACCCAGGATCCCTGTCATTTTGTTTTTTAATATCTTCTGCCGGTGAAGACTGAATTAAGTGGGTGGCAGGGGAGGTGAAGAAGGTGATCAGAAGAAGGGGAGACAGAAACAACTGGATGGAAAATGGTTTTGGAAATCCTAGGAGAAGAACTCCAGGAGAGCACGTGGGTTTCTGGCTTCAGCAACTCGGTGACTGGCGGGATGCTTATCGAGTTGGAGGAGTCTTGGGAAGGGATTGGTTTAAAGGGAAAATCTTGAGTTTAGCCTCAGGCTTGTTCTGCAGGCCAGGTCTCTGAGACATCTAAGTGGAAGTCCACTGGGTTGTTGGGTATGAGGTCTGGAGAATAGAAGAAGAGAGGTCTGAGCCGAAGTTACACAACTGGAGAGGGGGCATGACACTTACACTAACTAGTATTTAAATTCCCTCTCAACTCTGCTCATGGATCCCATACAAACTTACTAAATGATTCTTTTTTTTTTTTTAAAGATTTTATTTATTTATTTGAAAGAGAGAATGAGAGAGAGCACGAGAGGGAAGAGGGTCAGAGGGAGAAGCAGACTCCCCGCTGAGCAGGGAGCCCAATGCGGGACTCGATCCCGGGACTCCAGGATCATGACCTGAGCTGAAGGCAGTCGCTTAACCAACTGAGCCACCCAGGCGCCCCTTACTAAATGATTCTAAGTCTTATGGATGCAGAGCTAAAAAAGACAGGTTCGTGCCTGTCCTCGTGGGTCTTACATTCAGTGTAGACCGCTGGTGTATCACAGACTGGATAGGGTGGTGGCTGTGCCCAGGCAGGCTACAGGACGGAGGTCACAATGTGTACTTTGTGATGAGGTTTATGGTATAACTGGTGGCACGGAGGAGCACCCTGAGAGCTAAGCCTTCCTCCTGTGGGGAGGATACGGGACCCACCATATGTTATCTTTCTGCCCTAGCACCTTCCATCCCAGGGCCACCCACAGTCCTCTTTGGAGGTGAGCAAATAGTTAGGGAGGCAGGAGATGAGGGGCTGGGAGGCGGTGTTGTGTGGAGGTTTGGGGAGCCCTTGGGGCTGATGGGACAGAGAGATGCAGGGGCCTCATTTCCTCTTCCTTCCCAGTCCCAGGTAGAGAAGTCAGTGTGCTGCCTGCCACGGGACCCATCATGTGGCCGAACACGAAGCACTTGTGGCAGATTTTTGTCCTGTGGGTCTTCTGGGTGCTCTTCTTGTGGCTGATGGCCCCGTGTCTGGATCCTAGACCTGAATCGGCCCCTCAGGAGAAACTGATGGTCTTGGTACCCCGGCATTGCAACCGCCCTTGGCTCAAACTCAGGACAAGTGGCTGCCCATCTGAAATGCTAAACTCCTCCCTCCAGCACCACAGAGTTGGAGAGGGGAACGGGTTTGCTGCATGCTATGGGAAGACCGTAGAGTACCTGATGGGGGCGACAGAGTCCCTGACCCCTGTGCTCTGGTGGTTGGTCAGTGGTGAACCCTGAGCTCAGTCCCACCCCTTGTCCTTCCAAAGCCTAGCCCACGTCCCACTTTCCCACCCAAGCCCCTGCCCTTGGCCCTGGCTTAGCGCACCTCTCATCTTCACGGCCTCGACCCCTGACCGCCAGCACAGGGCCTCGCCCACTACCAGGTGATACCCAGGTCCCAGCCCCCAATCTCCTTTCTGCTGTTTCCAGGGCATGAACTCAGCAAGTGGACTTGGCCAAATGTGGGAGAAGCTGTTCAAGGTGATTCCCAGGCCGTCAGTGAGCCATTTCCATCTCTACTGTGGGACTTGTGCTTTGGTGGGGGACCCCACGACCCTGCGGGCCTCTGGCCTCAGCCACAACGTCAACCAGTGCACCGCAGCCTTCAGGTGGGTACTGGGGAGAGCGCAGGGCATGGGAAGGTCAGGGCTGCCCTCAGAGTGCTGGCAGTTCCTGCTCTCCCTCCCAGGATGAACCACGACCATGCCCAGAGCTTTGAGACGGCGGGGAACCAAACCACAGGATGCTTCGTCTATCCCTGGAACGCCAGCATCCGGGGCTCCTGGAGACAGCTGGTGCTGCTGCTGCTGCAGCTTTCTGGTCTGGCGTGGACTTCAGATGCCCCGAGTGAGGAGGTGATGGTCTGGGAACCCAGACGTTCTTGGTACGGGGGTCAGGGGAGGTCACTGCAGGGGAGGACAGAGGGGCTCCAGGGAGACCCTCTGCTGGCTTATTAGGGGCACCTGCAGAACCTTCCCAGGTCTCAGACTGCTGAAACTCCCCCACCTCCCAATGATCTTAGATTCTGGAAGGTGGTCCTGTTCCCTAGTGGAATGGAAGGCAGCAAAGCCCAGGTAAGGGGACAGGAGGGAGGAAGACGGGGCTGTGGGCTGCTGTGGGCTGCTGTGGGCAGGGGCCCAGGTCGGCCCCCTCTCCCTTCTTCTCCACCTCCTGGTGATCAGCCCCACCTTCCTCAGGTATAACCAGGGCAACTGGCTGGCCGATCAGGGTCAGTATGCATTCCTGGGGCTCATGGCTCTGTTCTGTGCCTTGCACACCCATGACCAGGTTAGGAAAGATTCTGGTCTATTTCTCACACAAGTATAGAGTCTAGAAAATTTCAAGACCCTGCATCATCTGACCCCCTCCCCTCCCCTCCTCTCTCCCAGGCTCACACACGGGGCTTCTCGGTGTTCCCCAAACACCAGCTGCCTCCTGCCTTCTCACACACTGCTGCCTCAGCCTGGAATGCCCTTCTCTTGTCTCCCTGGGGAGTCCTCTCTCTTCCTCCAATATGAGGAGGAGGAGCAGCTAGTTGATGCTCTTTGCTGGGCTCCGGGGTCACACTGTGTGTTCAGAGTGTGTCTTCCCTGGAGAAGGAGAGCTCTGCTCTCCCAGCTCTAAGAGGAAGCCTATCACACTAGATGTTAAATGAGTGCTGAAGGGTGACTGGTGGACATGGGGGCAGGACAGGATCCGGACTGCGACCCTGTGGCTCTCTCCTGTCTTATCCTCTTTCCCAGGTGTCCTTATTTGGTTGGGGACAGACCAGCTCATGAGGTGGTCCCATTACTGGTATGATAAATATTGGTTCGAGAATAACATGCACAGTTTCAAACAACAGAAGGTCATCCTCAAGCTGCAGTGTGAGGGGAAGGTTGTTATCTACTGTTGGAATGTTTTCCAACCTGTTCAGCCCCCTGGAGGCCCTGGGAGCTGACAGGTAGTCAAGGAGACCACACAGCATCAGAAAGGGGACCCCAGATATAGATCTGCTGCTAAATAAAACTATAGCTTATTTCTCTCATTGGATTCCTGGTGGTATTAGAGGGCTACATTCTATTCCAGATTCTTAACAGCATAGCACCAATAAATATTTATATATATAACCAATAAATATAATCAAACCAAAAGGGGAAACAAGCAAACCCTAAAGCTGAGAACAAATCAAATGGTTGTATATCAAATTGATAACATAAGCACCAGAGAAAAGAATTATTTCAAGTTCCTTTGGAATTCAGTACACTGTGTATCCTTTGCAGGATATATTCTGTGTACAAAAAGAACTACAAAGAAATTTTATTTTATTTTATTTTATTTTAAAGATTTTATTTATTTATTTGAGATAGAGAATGAGATAGAGAGAGAGAGAACAAGAGGGGGGAGTCAGAGGGAGGAGCAGACTCCCTGCCGAGCAGGGAGCCCGATGCGGGACCCGATCCCAGGACTCCAGGATCATGACCTGAGCCGAAGGCAGTCGCTTAACCAACTGAGCCACCCAGGCTCCCACTACAAAGAAATTTTAAACTTCACTCAGTAGATTTATTATAATACTGGTATTATTTTTGAAACTATATGATGACTATCATGGAATAAAGTAAATAAGTAATTATATTAATATTATTAGGAACCAAATACAAAGATAGGTAAAAACCCTGTGACATTAAATTCAAACTGGAAATATTATAAACTCAATTTTTAAGTTATTTTTTACTGTGGCAAAATATACATAACATTTGCCATTTTAACCATTTTAAAGTGTGCAGTTCAAGGGCATTAAGTACACACTGTTGTGCAACCAACACCACCGTGAACTCATGATTTTCCAAATACACTTTCTGCTCTGTCATCTGAACGGTCTAAAAGCCTGAACATATCAGTAGCAATGATCAATCCCAGAACTCAGATTTTGTTTTCTAAACACTTCTTTCCCATGAAAAAATTCCAAGTCTGGACAGGAAAAGTAGAAGGAAAACCCAGACCTCAAAGTTGGGAAGATCTGAACATCAAAAATAGCACTTGTCGTGATGGACTTACAGGGAATATATAAAAAATCCCGAGTCCATAATGAGACTCAGAAATAAAAACAATTTGTTGGTGGAGACTATTACATCAACTGGGGAGGGGGAAGCATTTATCCTGCTTTCTTTGTAGAAACGGTGGTTCAAGGTAACCAAATAGCCTCAGACAATGAGGGTGTGCGGTTGCTGGGTGTGTAAAACAAATATCCACTACATTCTACCTCCTTGTCTGCCCAATAAGCACACACACACTAACAAAATGCATATACCCTCATATGACCAGGCGCACATATACCCGCCTCCCCAAGGGCGCTGTGGTGTACTGGCTGGTCTAGTGTGGAGCCAGAGTCCAAAAATCCCCAAAGGTGTGAGCAGTGCCCCAGCCCATCGTCATGTTATTCCAAGGTACTGGACCCATCATGACATCATATAGACATATTATTTAGAGGAATAACATTACCCACTACAAAAATAGCGTCTTTAAGAATTGGCTGTCCCCGGAGAGAGGTTGGAAAAGAATTGGATGGGAAACTGCTACCTTCTTTTCTACTTAATTTTGTAACCAGGTGCATGCACTGGTTTCATTTTAAATAAACGAAACAAAAATCTGCGGAGAAAAAAAAAGTTTGAGTGGACAGAAAAGTACTTTTAACCACATCATGAAGTTTTCCTGTAGATTCTTTTCTCAAGAGGGGCCAGGAAGCTCTTCCTTTCCCCCGTCTGCCTCCTGCCCAAGCAACCCTGCACCGCCAAGAGGCCTCCATCTCAGAGAGGTACCCCACACCAGCCTTGGCACACAATCTTGCCTGTTTTATTCCCGTCCCCATTACACTTGATTTCCAAGCCCTCCCTTGTCTGCTGGGCCCTGGGCTGAATGCCAAGGGGAAGGCGGTTATCCACAAGGCCTCCATGCAGGAATTCACAACGTGACTTGTGTGGTGGGGTCCCTGATATCGGGCTGGCATGAAGAACCCCATGGGGCACCAGCCCCTTCTCCTCCAGGGAGGCCACAGGACACACCAAATGTTGCCTCTCCCCTTCCTCCTCTCAGCCTCCAGGGGCGAATCCTGTAGAGCTTAGCAGGTGACTGTGAAGGAGGCGGCCGGCACAGTGGGGTGCTGGTGAAGTCGGTGACCACAGCTTCCTACCTTTCCCAGTGTTTGGTGTCTGAGTTAGCCTGCCACTTGGCCTTGAGCGTGGGACAGTAATGAAGCCTTCATGGTGGATTTTAGGCTCGTGGGCTGCCTTGATGTTCACCCGTGACTGATGCTTCTGCTCTGGTCAGGAAGGTCTGACTTGAGCGGTTTAGCTGGTAGAGCTTCCAAGAGCCTGCCATTGTTCTTGGGACCCACAGGCGCACCCCTGGACCCCATAAACCCAGTGTATCCATCCAATCAGCTTGGAAACACTTTGAAAGGGCTCTCCAGCCCTCTCTTCCACCAAGATGTTCTGTGACACTTTCTCTGGCTTCAACAAGCGGCCAGTGAGTCTCTTCTGGACCTCCAGTTCATTCTGTGAGTGTTTGTCTATGTCCAGGCGTGCCTTCCCTGGAGAAGAGCTCCTCCTTTCAGTGCTCATTGTGCAGCTTCGTGACACGCAGGTTTAACGAGTATTTGCCAAGTGAATGAAGAGCTGGATTAGGGGCAGGGGCAGCAACCAGCCCATTTTCTCCACAAGGTTTCTATATCTGGAGTTGGGCAGACAAGAGGTGGGCCCTTATACAGAGAAGGGCGTTACATCCACTCCAGTACTTGTTAAGCCACAATGCAACAGCAGAAGGCCAGGGAACCAGCCAGCTAGAATGTGAGGCTAGTCTTGGCCTGCCACAAGCCTTAGGCTCTTGGAGCTGCCAGGTAGGGCTGGAATACTCAGATCTAGGAGAGATGATGACAGGAAACCAAGATAGGAGGTACAAGAGTGATGTATGGATTATCAGGCACCGGATAAAAGCCTTCCCTGATTCCCTCACCTCAACAACTAGCAGTAATTAAGGAAGAACCAAATTTGAATACAAGTTTTCCTCTCCCTCCCGCCTCCACACACAAGGCCATGTGCTGAGATCAGACAGCAGCCACTCTCAGTGGGACACGATGCATGGCACTAGCGGGGCAATGCACTCTCCTCAAACCCCTCATTCACCTTTTCACCTCCAAGCCCTCCCACCCGTGTCAAGCTTCGGGCCTCACGAAGGCATATAAAAAGATGCTAACATTGGTTAACAAAGGACTAAGAAGGAAGGTCACCATGTCCACACAGGCTACCGACATAAATGAACTGGGTGAGACCCATGGGACCCGGGAGCAGCGCTCTACCTTCTCTGGAGGAGCTTCCCTTCCGAGCCTCACCTCCATCTGGGTCTAGGCAAACCCGGGTCCCAGGAGGGTAGACGGGAGGAAATTCCAGGGCCCCAAGTAAGACCCTATGTTCTTTATGTTCCCTTGTCTACTTTCTAAGTGTGGTGAGCAGAGCTGAGCTGAGCCTGCACTCCTTCCCCACTGTGCAGGAGGATCACACAGGGGACGTCGCTGCTTCCGGCACACTGACAGCCCCTGCTCTACTGACCCCCTGCCTGCTCTCTCGGCCCCCTGCCTCTGCATGCCCTTGCTCTTTCGGCCCGCCACCCCTGCGCGCCACTGCCCCTGCTCTTCTGGACCACCGCCCCCGTGCGCCACTGCCCCTGCTCTTCTGGCCCCCTGCCTCCTTGTGCCACAAACCCCTGCTCTTCAGGGCTAGCGTTTGCACGGAGCTCAGCTGCTCCCTTCCCCGGGCCTGGGGAGTGAACAGGTGGTCAGTGGGTCAGGGGGTAGGAGGTGAGGTATTGAGGGCTGGGGGTGGGGGGGCACAACGCATGAAGGTGTCCCCTGTCCAGAGACCAATTCAACAACCAGCTGGCTGAAAAGGGACCTGTTCCATGGGCTGAGAGGAGGCCTGCATGCAAAGTCTTAGCCTGGGAGTTGCCCTGATGCTTTTGTGGGTGAAGTATCCCTACCCCCACAGGTGCTTCTCACGGGCCCCAGAGCTGCAGAGGCTCTGAGGTTGCTCGCCACATCTGCATAGCCTGCTTTCACTGGCAGGCTGTTTGCCTCATTTGACCAGCGCTTCCAGATGGGCCCCGAAGCTCCTCAGGAAGCTGGAGACCACCATCTCCAGAGCTCATGGGCTCTGGGCTGTATCCCCTCTCTGACTCCTTTCTCTACTCTGATGAAGTCCAGCCTCCTCTGTGTGAGAACATGGAGGTCAAACGGCTAGTGGTCTGTGCTCTTCTCCATAGGCACCGACGCTGGGAGACCCAAGCCAGTGCCAGTAGGCCAAGGAGGAACTATTTCAGCTGATCCCCAGACCCCAGCAAAACCCCAAGACCTGCCCACGCCAGTCCTGTGCTAAACAGCGCAGGACTCGGGGAGTCTGCAGTCTTCGAGCCACTGATGAGCACCACACTGTGTCCTGGGGTGGGGGGGATGAGGGTGGTGAGCAGGGCTGGCCTGTGAGCCCCAGTGCCCTCCTCACTTCCTATCTCTGCAGAATGAACCAGGCCCTGTTTTTAGGTTCAGGGAACACGGGCAACAAACAGAGCCTACGGGCACATAAAGGACCCGAGAACGCCTGTGAGCTGGCAAGAATATCCAGGCGCTGCTGAAGCTCCAGATGTAGTGTGGACTGCAGGGGTCTTGAGCGAAGGCGGACAAGGGCACCTTTTATCAGGTGGTGTGACTGGCGGAGGCCCCAGGCCTGGAGTGGACAGCCCTTGGCTTTTTGGTGTAAATGTTGATCTTACCGTCACTCTACCGCCTGTGATTGTGCGCTCCCCACCCCCCTTGCTAACATACAACCAGTTTTTCCTTCCCTACCTCATGCTAGGCAGCTTTTCTGCCTTTAAGCTGCTGCTAGTCCCAAGTAGGGAAGCAGAGGAGGCAAGGTAATTAGGTTATGCTCTGGTGATCCTTGTTCTAACAAGCCAAGTTTGGAGACTTGTTGAGAGAATGGGGTGCCGCACCCACCAGACCCA